GTGGCTGCCATCAAAGTTTTAAGTTGCTTCTGATGTGCTGCTTAAGTGAGTGCCAACAATGGCTGTTGCTGCCCCACCCAGCTCTTCCTTAGGACCAAGTCACCTCGAAGTCCCACAACCCAGCCTTCTCCCCAGTCTTGGCTGCTTCAGGTCCAGTGCCATATTGTGGGATGGAGTGAGTGGGGCTGGAGCATTAATTCCACTTGGGCTGGGGCATACACCAACGCAATCCCAGGAAACACAACACTCAGTCCTCTCTCCACCCTCTCCTTCTTGCCTCGAGGGTAAGCCAGTGTGCACATACTCCTCTTGAGTGGACTCCAGGCTACCCACAGCTGTCCTGTTAGTCACAGCAGTCCTACAACCAGCCAAGGGAGCTCATCTCCCCCAAGAAGGATCCTGCAACTGGGATTCCCAATCTGTAACTCTCACTGCTCATTCCCCATGGTGGGTGTCCACCCTTGTATTCACCTTTTCACTCTAAGTCCTTTCCCAGGGGCACAGGTCCCTATCTAATTGCTTTTTTTCCCTTCCTATCCAATCATATTTCTTTCTCACAGCCTTGGTTGTACAGAAGTTCTTCTGCCAGTTTCCAGTTAGTCTTCAGTGAGAATTATTCCACACATAGATGTATTTTTGATGTTTATGTGAGGGGAGCTGAGCTCCATGTCCTCTTACTCTGCTATGTTGATCAATCTCCAAGAGCATTTTTATTCTTTGAAACTTTTATAAAAATTATCACTGATTTCAATAATTTCTTATTCAACTTTTTCTATATTACATACTAAAAAGCTAAGGAAAGGAATTTAGTATTCTTTAGGTGCTCTTTGGGATAAGAAGGCAAGAACTTTATCATTTTCAAAAGAATGGTAGTAATAATAACTGATAACAAATAATATAAAATTTCATCATATTATATAGTGAGCCAAGGCCTTTAATAATCTCTGGTTAGAATTCTAATATCTGATAACTCTCTGTTCATATATGTATATAACCCATCAAGAGAAATCATTTGTTATACAAAATATTGCAGGCTGTAGCACTTAGATAATCTAGTAGAAAAATACTAGATGTCCATTGTCATTGTCTTTTTTGTATTAAATAATGCAGTCTTAAAAGTTCACATTTTCACCAGTGTCACTGATCTAACATTTAAATAAAACAAAAACATTATTTAAATGAAAAATGAGCTTAAAAGATGTTCTAAACTGTGTATCACATTTTCAATCTGTATTTTATAGAAAATATTAAGAGCCCTTCTTGATTAGGCTTATAGGCTATCCAGACTGGTATTCTGCCTATACAAGTGGTAGCAAAAATTGTATTGTGAAAGGCTATGGTTGGCCTAATGGCTATCACTTTTAATGGTTTCTGCCAGTAAATTTTACCTTTCCTTTAAAATTTATCTTGGCTTATTTATTGAGGATTTTTTGAAGTCTTTATGATTATGTTTTAATGTATTCCAATTCTTAAGGTTCTAAAAAATAATTATCCATAAGTACTTCAAAAAATGAATGTAATTATATGCCTTCTTAGGTGAAAAATCACATTTTTGGATCTGCCAACAATTTGCTTTTTATTTATTTGCTCCAAAGAATGTGACCTCTTTCTAACATTCTGGAAGTTGGTGGCTAAATCCATGCTTACCTTGCTTTTATTGTCCTTATTTTAGCATGATGAACTAAGGTATCTCAAAAGTCTATGGCATATTTTTAATAATAAATGCATACTAAAGAAGCATTTTTCAGAAAGAATGATGCAAGTTCTAGGTCCTCCAAATATGATAGATAAAATATACAAAGTAACTAAAATGAATCAAATATAAGTGTTGGGAAATATCTGAAAACCAAAAACAGATGCTTTAAGGAAGTGACCTAAAGGAAACTTACTATAATGGCTTAATCATGGTACACAAAGTATGCCCTTGCTGGCTGGAGAGATCAGCAGATAGTTTGAATACATTCTGTGTCTTAGTCTGCACTGAATAAAATATCCAAGAGGATCCCTCTCCCATGTTTTCTGTTCAAAGAGATGCACTGGATATATTACAGCACATTATAAAAAATGTGCAAGGCATTCTAGACTTCATTAGTCAGATAAAGGAAAATCCCTGATATGGCAAGTTGTACTATTGAGAGACATGGAAGAATACCCAGGTAAAGATATCCCTTATGACTAAATTGTTTATAAATTTGCTTCTATACCAGAGGATTAACATACATTGATGTGACATCCCTTTATGAGGATTTCTTTACACTAAAAAAGTGGAGTGGAGGAGGTAATTCAATTTATTTATTTATTTTTAATGGAGGTACTGGGAAGTGAACCCAGAACGTCATGCGTGCTAGGCATATACTCTACCATTTAGCTATACCCTCTCCCTGAGAATAATTTTAATATAAGATCCTTTGATTACACATTGATAACTCTCACTTCCACATCATCTGAGAGAAAGAGAGAGAGAGGGAGAACCGAACAGAATAACCATCTATGCCCTATTCCTTGTCAGAACCATCCTCATGGACTTCCCATTCATCTTAAATCTTTCTGCTATATACTTCACTGATGTCAACAGAAATCTATCTTTCCCAAGAAAAGTTTCATCATGCTATATTTACCTTTTTATTTCTACAACACCATGGTGTTAGGACTTAATTCTTTTCTCTGTTAGGTTTTGCATAGTTCCTAAACTCAAGTAACATACAATTAGTGGTTAGGTTTAAAAAATGCACTTTCTTTGGATCATTTCCATTTGTCTACACAGAGTGTAGTAGATTAAAGCTTTCTAAGCTTTACTCCCAGAAAACAATAATAGAGAAGCTGCAACTGCAGAAGAGGTTGAACTCTGGAGGAATGACAGTGAGTCATCGTTTTATATTAAAATCAATTTTTAAAACTTTGACAAAACTTCAACAATAGAATTTATTCTTATTTTTTTCTAACTGAAAAATTATATTTATAGCACAACAAAACCAAGGTAGAAACCAAAGAACACTTCCCCCTTTTTTCCTACTTAATGCAAGAAAACTACACCGCCACTATCACATACAATCCACCATTAAAAAGTGCAACATGGAAATGGACAAATACCACTGTCATCCCAGCCTATTCCCCTTACAGCAGGTTCTACAATAATCATTCTACAATAATCCAACTAGACTCATCCTCAGAGACAAGCTTTAAGAGGACAGACAAGAAGAAAGTTCCGTTTTCTGAACCCAGCAGTAAAGTTGCAATAACAGATTGTTTTCCATTGAGCCAAAGAAAAGCCTGAGGAGTCCCCAAATCTCTCAGACATAAAAGTTATAAGACAAAGTGGGTAGAGTCCAGGATTGTATAGGCTGAGCCTACAAATCTTCCCACTCAGATAACCAACTTCTTCTCCTTGAATAAGAGTCTCCTATGCCTCCATATGGAGAAAATGGCACAGATGATGGACTATGAAAAGAAGTGATATGGGAACTTCACTGAGTGTTTAGGAGCCCTTTCCAGTAAGGATATTTTTGCCCCTCTTCCTTCTAAGTCTCCCTGAGTCTGTCTTTACTTTAGAAGTTTAAACTTACTTTAGTCTATTTCAGGAACAGCATTTGAGAATGCAGGTTGATTTCCTTCCTGGTAAATGTAAGATTATATCCAGAGTGATGACCTGTAATTATTGTTTCTTAGGATGTTTAAATAAGGTAGGGTATCTTGTATTCAAAATTGCCAGTAATTAGACAGCAATATAAAAAAAAAACATGGAAGTAGAGACCTACTTCCTAGAAGTAGAGACCAAATATGATCTACTTCACTTCAGGGTAGGAACAGAAACTGAGGCTAGAGTCCAAGATCAGAGACGTTAAATTACACCTTTCTGGAGGCATATCTTTCTGTTAACATTGAAAATATGCCTGTATTTGAGACAGTGGAAAGCCCTAACTCTACTGGACAACGGAATACTTTCCTACTGGGAGTTGCCTGAAGCTTTTGTCATTCCCACTTCCACCCTTGCTAATTCAAACATTTTTAAAGGAAAAATGAATAAATGGATTAAAAAAGTAAAAGCAAACCAAAACAACAAAAGCGATAGAATACCTGAATCTACTTTCTTTTTGTGCTCACAAAATGTTAAAAGATCGAATTCTTTTTCTCTTTACTTTTAAATTATCTTCATCCGGTTATGTTTCTTCTGAAGAATTTTGGGTTATTTTTTCCTGCTTTTTATTTCTTTGTTTTGTTGTTTTTCACCTTTTCCCTCTGATGCAAAAAATTAAAATAATAAAAATATTCTCTAAAATCAAATATCCAGCAACCAATAACAGAAAATTACCATCTGGAATTGTCTTATATTTACTGAATACTTTTCACTAGTACTCCAAATAAGAGTTCACCCTTACTTAGAATATGTTTATGAATTCACTGTATTCTTGCACTCCTGCTTATCCCCCTGCAGAAATTAGCTACTCCTTAAGATTGTCAATAAACTGTACAAAGGAAATCACAGAGTTGCAAATTTCACAAAACCTCCAACAGTAACATAAAGCCAGTGCTATTATAACCATCTTTTATAGAGCCTTTATTTTCCATCATTCATGCTAATGAACAAGGAAAGTTATAGAGAGAGGGAAAAAGAGGGGTGACTTTGTATCTGCAGCAACCCTGGGACCAAAAAGTCTGGTTAGAAAAGCTAAAACATTCTTCTATGAAGTCTCAGTACTGTGTCTAGTCTCAGATGTATTGGTCTGATTGTCTGAAGCTTTTAAAATCCCAGGGAAGCAAAAGAAATAGAAGAGATCTTTGCTGTAGTGTTAATCATGGTGACAAGTTAGTATCTTCCACCTGGAAACACTGAACTATCTGGCAGAATTGAGCTCCACTAGCTAGTGATAGTTCTCATAAAGACCCTAGAAGGAAAGATAGCTCTATAAAAGGAAAACTACAAAATTAGTCTTGAAAGCAGAAATGGATCTACCAGAGTCGACACTGGACTGACTACTTGGGATTTTCAGAGACGTGGGAAATCATGGATTGGGCTCTTGCTTTTTCTGTAGCTCCAGTTCGGCGGCCTTCTGTACGGCTGCATCGACCAGCAAATAGAAGTTGCTGAAGTCTATGTACTTGTCTGTCGAAACAGGTTCCGGAGAAGACGGAAGCAAGGGACTGCCGGTGAAAATCTTGTCCTTTTCCATTGGCTGGAACTTAGGGACCCACTCTAGATCTTCCAGCTTCTCTCCTGACTTCTGGTCCATCGGCAGGGGGCTCAGGGGCAGGCCTTGTATCTTGTCTGGATCTGTCGGCCCTGACCTGGCCTTCATAGATGGATCGGTGCTCTGCTGGTAGGTCACATCAGCAGTCTTGCCTTTTTGGTGGTACGTGGTGATAATGCTGGGATCACTTCCAGCCTGTTGAAGAATTTCCGGAAGAATGCGTCTGCGGGCATTCATGAACCAGTTAGAGACCTGCGTGAAGGACAAATTAGTCTGCTCTGCCAGCATTCGTTTCTCTCTCTTTGAGGGGTAAGCCTTAAGCCGGTGCTCATACAGCCAGTCGCGGAGGATCTTCACGGAATTGGTTGGCAGGAACCCTTTATGCTTCCTCTTTCTCTCTAGTGAGCCAAGAACTTTATCTGTAGCAATGTAACCATCAGACTCCACCGAGGTGCCTTGCGCCGGGCTTTCGGTCTCCACTGGCCTTTCTTCAGCAGACTCCATGTTCTTGAGGCCTGTCTTTACTATCTTGAGAACCAAGGATGGCTGAATGTAGATCTGGGAACAGCCAGTGAAGAAAGCGTGGGCAGCTCTCCAAAGAGGAAGTCTCACCTTTTACTTCCCAGGCAGATTAACAGTGTTGCTAACAGCTTTGAGCCAGCAGGCTTTGTGATGTCACATCCTTTCTGCCCCTCCCCCCACCCTTCTCCACCCTCCCCCAATTCCTGGTTCCACCTTTCCTTATTTTCTCCATAGGTTCAGATGTGCTTGTTTTCACCCCATCAGTTTATATGGCTCTCCAGGATTTTATTTCTCTTTTGCTGTCACCTGTTCCTGCTAACTAATGAACTCTGTTTCTTTTGGCTAAACCTGGCTTATGCATAGGTTTCTCACTTTCTTCCTTTTTGATTCTACTCTGATACTGTTTTTCCCTCTTATTCCTTATAATTGCATCATTGGTTCATCCACATATATTAGAAACAATCTATTAGATAATATGCTCAATAAAAGGTGAGTGTAAGTGATGTTCTTGACTCTCTTCCATATTCAAAGCTGATATAAGACTAATTTTTAACTCGACCTTTGTTTTTGGCATCCTGCCTCTTCAATTTTTCTTCTTTATGGCTTGGAAATGTTTGACTTTGGGGTGACTTCATTGTGCCACCATGGTCTTTATGTCTGTGTTTTGAGCTCTGATATCCAAGTGTGATGATTCTCTCTGAAGCATCAGTCAAAATTCAGGGATCTTTTAGATACATGGGACAGGATAGGATTCAAGAAATAACAGTGATCACAGGCTTAGATTATTGAAATCTTTCTTAATAGTTTAAGTACATTGCAATCACCCCCTAAATCAGATGGAAAATAGTTTGTAAATTTTATATTTTAATTGCAGATAGCTGAAAACAAGGGTTGACTCTTTCAATAACATTCTCATTCACTTAGAGGGCAATCACAGACTCTGACTTTCCAAGGATAGGTATGATATTACTTACTGTTAATTTCATAGATATTTCAGTGGGAACTCCTGGCCATCATCTTAAGCATCATATGTTAGCCACAGTTTCTATTTGGCAGGGCAATATCATTTTACCCTTAAGACTTCTTATTTGATGTCACTTAGCTGGACATCAAAATATTGTCTGATCCTTTGGCTATTGGTAACCTTACTGGTGCTTACTTTCACAACTTAAAATTTACTGTAAGGGAGACCTATTGAAGTATACAATCAAATCTAATGAATGTCTTAACAAAGCTCCCAATAACCACTAAGTCTGTATGTTGGCTACAATTGAAGGTCTCTTTTGGAATGCTCTAGAGGAGAGTGCTATTACTTCCACTGGTGTTTTGGGCCACTGGAACACAGTAAGATAAGATTTTCAATTCACAGTGAAAACTCACTTTCCAAAATTATTTCTCATCAATAAATTTATGACCCATGCTCAATGAAACTACTCTTGTCTGTCAGTATGGTTTCTAGTAACTTATCCTACCTCACTTGTTGCTTCTATATTCTCCTTGTATTTCTGAGATTCAGACCTCTGCTGAAGGATTGACAGAACTGTACATATTTAAATCACTGTGATTACTTCTGTGACATGATCTAGGTCCTTTATTTTTAACAACTCATTTATTAATCCCTTTTAAAAGGAATATCATGGTGGTTCAAATTATCCACAAGAAATTTGGACATGGTTTTTTCCTTTAATAATAGCTATAGGAACACAGAGAAGTCTGGAAAGTGGGTGAAAAATTGGGAAGAAGTCTATTAGTTTTGTTCCAAAAACTTCTTTGTTTCATCATGTAACAACAGAAACACTGAATAGAACCTGTATTATCTTTTTTCAAGTTTTTGATGATACAAAATATGAATTAAGAACATCTCTAAAAGAAAGGTGGATTACTTCCACCTACTTATTTAAGGAGTTCAAATTATCTAAGTAGTTTCTATCAAATTTCATCTTCCTTTATTGCTTCTTTTTATATAAAACACCATGGGATCTTACTGGAAACAATTAGTGCTGTATATTTATAGGCATTGATTTATTTACATATGACTCTGAAAAGTGTTTTCTCATGATTGTGTAATGAATGAGGATGGTATTGTGCTATAATATGTACCTTAATTCTCAAATTATGTAAGGCTATATAAGACAACACAGATCTTTTATACACTGCTGCTTATTGTTTCTAGTAATCTACTTATAATTTTAATATAAGTTTGAGTATTCTACACTCCAAATTATGTCAGTCTATCTGTAGAGCTAAAAAAATAAAAGAACAAGATGAAAACTTCTTTGACTTTCAAGAATGGGGTAGTGCAAATGCAAATTGGAAAAACAAAGTAACAAACACCTTACTAAACAATACACAGTGACTTAAGCAAAAATTGATGGTGTGATAATGGGATTTTGCCAACTCTGAAAATAAATAATAAGTGCATAGAGTTTATTAGACTTTAAAGCATTTGGATAATTTGTGCCAAATATTTTATCTTTGAAACAAATTAAAGGAACGTTTTGGAAACCAGCACAAAATTCCCCTATTTGAAGGACTGGTGGCAAGTTAGGAAGTGTAGGAAGTTCTGGAAAATTCGACTAATATACCCTAATTTAGAGGGATGAAGATGGGAAGGATGTGTGAAAATAAGAGAAGGTGTTGAGTGGTATACCAGAAGCTCAGCTGAAGGGCTGGAAATTTATATATATATATATATATATATATATACACTATATATATAATTTTTAAAGATACACAGATATATTTTATAAATGTATATTTATGTATATGCACATACAGTACATATGTAATCCATCTGTTATATATATGTATATGTACATATATGTATCTCTTATGAAAAAATGGACCAATAAAGAAAGAAGAAATAACAGATAAAAGATGATATTACAAAATCAAACTTATGGATCTTACAGCTTAATTATTTAAGATTTTTCATTGCATGGATATAAAGGAAATGCTTTCCAATTTTTGTATATATCTCACATAATCCTGTTGTGAAAATCTCACAAACTATGACAAAAAATTCATAGCAGATTTATTCATAAAATCAAAAATCATTAGATAGAATCTAGATTCATATAAAATATAAAATACATGAGCAAATGACCTTCAAGCCAGAAATTCAATCATGACTTAAGATTAGAATATATATTTATATAATTCTTCATCTTAATATGTAAAATAAAAATATAATACAATAATATACAAATATATACAAAAATAATACAAGTTAAGAACTATTTTATTGAATTCAAAAACAATTTCTGACAGACATGCTGTAGTAAAATCAATAAGACTAGAAAGATGCTTCTTTAACATAGGATAGATTCATAAGGAGATAAAATTATCAATACCCAGCTTCATACATAATTAGTAAAACAAAAATGCATCTTTTAATTCCATGAGCAAGGCAAAAGTTATCTATTTTCACTACTATGACATTGCTCAGAAGTTGGAGCCCATGGGATCAATCAAACAAAAATAAATGTAATGCATATAGGGAAAGGAGGTAAATAGTGTTGTTTGCTGATGGCATGATTAGCCACTTAGAAAATATTTAAAAATCAATTGAGAAACTATTAGAAATGATAAGAGGCAAGGTAGCCAGTTACAAATGAATAAATGATAAACTTTAACATATACCAACAATCATTTAGAAAATATATTGCGGAAATTATCTAGTTCATAATCATAGTAAGAATAAGATATAAGATATAAAGGATCTAGGCATAAAATTAGAAATTATTATTCATGGCCTATACTAAGAAAAATATAAAATCCTATTGAAGAACATAAAATGAGATGTTAATAAATGGCAAAATACATTCCTTTCTTGGATAGGAAACGTTTATATTTTAATAATGTCAGTTCTCTTTAAATTTATCTTTGTATCTTTTATCTATCAAAAGCATAAGTGCTCTCAACCTACTTTAATATCTCACCTTATATTATATGTTGAAAAGTATTTATAAACTTTATCTGGAGGGATAAATGTGTGGTGTACTATAGCATTTCTGTAAAACCAAACTGATGTAGAAATATTTATCTTACTAGATATTATCCTATATTTTAAAGTAGTAAGTAATTAAAAAAGTGTGATAACCATGTAGGTATAACCAGACCAATAAAATAAGGAGAACATGGCAACAGCCTCAAGGACTTAATGGTACTGTGTACACGATAGGTATGGCTTTCCATATCATTGATGAAGGATGCTTATTCACCCTGAATGTTGCCAAGAACATACAACAAACTTTGAATACCTTCTCACTGATATTTTACAGCTTTAAACTGAAGAAATACACAGGGAGATGTCTTTAAATTCATTGTTCTCTATGAGCAGTAGGGATATAAAGTGTGGAGAATTTTGGCAAATTCATTTAATATACTTTAATTAGGAGGGATGAAAGTGGAAGTGTCCTGACCATGGGAGAAAAGACAAGTGACTGGTAATTTGAGGGGAAAAAAAAAAAACTGTTTTAGCATTATGAATGAAGTTGATTTGTGTCTTTTTTTTTTTTTTTTAGATTCCAGATATAAGCGATATCATATGGTATTTTTCTTTCTCCTTCTGGCTTACTTCACTTAGAATGATGATCTCCAGGTCCATCCATGTTGCTACAAATGGCATTATTTTATTC